CCCTATTCTCTTGCCAGTGTCCAAAGAAACCCAGCAAGGAGGTGGCTTACACATTTGTTACTCATAGCTCCTATTGTCTACCCTCTGCCTATATTAACTCTTTGCTACCTCTTCTCTCAGGAAGCCCTCTGTAACAAGTTCCCTTATTTAAAGCTTTCATTGACTTATTTCAAAGCTTAGTTCAACTCTCCGATTTTGGAGACCGATTTAAAACTAAGCTGATACTTTATCTGTAAAAAAAAAAAATCACCACGTTTTACTATTAGTTCACTATCAGTTTGCCATCTCGCTCTCAAGCTATAGCACTCATAGGGAGTTTCTAAAGTGGAGCTTCAAGGTTTGATTAGGTTTGAATTTCCATTTAATTAAGGGCCAAGATAAAAGGGGCGAGAAAACTCCCCCATGTATATTAAGAAACGCAGGCATCAAGCTTCAGGAATGCGGTGTGTGAAGACAAGCCTCCTGGTGGCCACCCATCAGGCAGCCTAGACCAAACACCAGCAATCTCTTTCTTGTACGGCACAATTAATAAAGAGAGGAAGCTGATGAGGAAAGGGGGTGACTGGAAGACTAAGCAGGAGAAATTACGAACGGAATTCGATGTCGGGTTTGAACAAGTTATTTCTGGGAAAGCCAAAAAAAGAAGTCAAGGTTTTCCAGTTATTGTATGTGACTCTACCACTTCCATTTTTATGATAACTGCTTTACAAAAACCCGCTTGTGGTCTGCTTTAACTTCTTTTTCCTTGTACCAGCCACCCTTAAAACCTTTTGATTAAAGAAGCCAGCAGCCAGCGAATCCTTCTCAAGCAGGAACTTATCAGATACTAGCTGTTCGCTTAATCATGGGAGAGATCCATTTTTAATTTGGCCATCTTATTTCACGCTGCTAATTAAGTAACATTTCGCTTATGAGTTGCACCTAATCATTCCATTGGAGTGAAGTCACAGCGTCGTGTCCGAACACAGTGCCGGGTTCTCCCAGGAACCATGGCTGGGTGTGGCAGCGTACTTTGTTCTGCTTCTGCAAAGAGAAACCCCACATGAAGATGCGGAAAAGCGATCCAGCTCAAGGCACCAGACCTTGCAGAAATGCTGGAAAGATGGGTTTAACATGTGCCTAACTGCCACGATCGCAAAAGTTCATCGGTTTAACTCCTTGCAGACAAGAAGCCGACTCTCCGAGCAGGAAGTTGTTCTCGGTGGAACTCCTGACGCAACGCGAACCGGAGCAGTTGCAGCTTAGTTTAATACAAACCCTCTTGAGTCCACGTTGACAAATTCTTTAACAAGCCCTGTGGTTACAGGGAAGCTGGTTTCAGTCTGAGTCACTCCTGTTCAAACAGTTTACTGGAAATGGAGGGGAGGGGGAATTTTCAGAGAAGTCATGTGATGGCCAGACAAACCACAACCAGTAAAGGTTCAGCGGAGTCAAAAACAGGTCCCAGCAACGACTGACATTCAGCGTGCAGATGGCACTCAATCATTTACAAACGAGTCCTGCTGCAACTCGGTATTTCTATGGATTTAACCCTTTTTCAGGTTTGTACTCCTTCAGAGGCAGGACAGGGTTTGGAAAGCAAACAAAGAGCAGTGGCTGATAGTAACATAGGCAACTAGAAAATATTTTTACATGGAAATTTGGCTGCAGCAACGCTGCACAGAAGCGAAGCCCGATGTGTAAATCATTAGTTCTTAAAAATATGCCACTTAATGAATCCAAACACTTACAGTCATTAAGGATTAGATATACAGCAAAGATATGAGTACTTTCTCCTCTCAGGGAGGAGCACCATGATCCAGCAAGGGCCCATGCATTACGCATGATCACCAAGCCATACCTTGAGGGAAGCTGGCATTAAAAGCTTCATTTTCACCAGAAACCTCCGTCAGCTTCAAGTGTTTCGGCATGACAGAAGACAGACGAGAATATTTAACAATCAGCAACTACTAAACTGGCAAAAGAGAGTCCCTGCACGTGTGTGTGTAGACGTGAAACTGTACAAAAGTGTGCTTGCACTGTATTATCACCAATGTGCTGCCCCAGCACCAAGTAGGAGATTCACTTCCCCTAATTGAGAGGTTGGTTTGAAGGGCTGCACTGGAGATACTCCCTGTGGCTAAAAAGGGAGCTCTGATAAAAACTCCTTTGCTCTGGAATTCGAACTGGAAGAGAGTAAACAGCAACTGAGATACCGTTTCAAAAATTCGTGATTTTTAAATACTGCCTTAAGAAATAACAAATCAGACCCAACTGCTCTGTTCCTATAGCACGCTGGGCTCGGCATTGTGTGGAGCTCTGAGGAAAAAGAGCCCAGCTTGTAAACCACACTCCTTCTCCGGGGCAGTCGATTTTAACAGGAGCAGCCAGGAGGCCAGAGAAGCTCTGACGCTCCCCGTATGTAACTGGGACGAGCTCACTGGTGTGGACCCACAGGAAGGAGCCGTGAGCGTTCCTTTAAAGTAAGGGGCTTTTTCTGAAGTTTGTTAATGGAAAGTACAAGGCAGACTCACACATCATCTGCAGGCTGATGAGTTTTCTCAAAACCTAGCTCAAGGTCACTTAGATCTGAGATTTATGACAGAAAATCCATCAATAGACTCTTTAAAGTAAACGGTATTTTACTCTGTGTAACTTTGAATGGGGCACTAAACCTTTACACTGTTTAATCCTTTTAAGTTCTTTCTTTTTGTTGTTTCTTTTTTTTTTTTTTTTTTTTGAAGTGCCAAGCTAGCAAGCACATCTCCCCTCACAGATCCTTCAAGCTGGATGTTATATTCATGGTCTATTCTCACCCTAGAAGATCCTCATCTGTTTCTCAAAATTACCATTGTTTTTGAGAAGCAGCAGCAACAAGCTTTCTAAACAAAACACACACGCAGGCAAAAACGTCAGGCCGTTTGGCTTTGCCTTGTAGGCACAGAGCAGCTCGGCAGAAGCAGGGGGGAAGCTATTCTTCCAAATCTAACACACCCATTTTCATGCCTTTCAAAAGGGCTGGATGAAGCGAGACCTTTAGGCTGAAAGAAGGCTCCTGTCATCTGACGTCAAACATTTGTAGTGGTCTCCATGGCATAAGACACTTGTCACATCCCCCGTGTTTTCTTAAGCATAAGGCTTCAACTTGGGAGAGTGGGAGAAGCTGATGTAGGTAATAAAATTGCTATTAAGCAGCTTAAAAATAGACATAATAACCGCTCATGAACAGCAATTACAGAACAAATAGTAATAGGCTATGCTGAAAATCGGAATTTACTCAAGGTCATAGGAAAAGGCAGGCCTGTCTCCCACAGACATCTAGCAAAAACACGACTGAAGCCAAAAGCAAAAAGGAAATCATATTAGCAAATGGAAAAAACTGAACCGTCAGTTTTATGAGCGCAATACAATTTAATCGGATTGTCAAAGCCTCACGTTAAGAGTTTTATAGACACCAAACCACAAGTGGAGTTTAAAAAGATGTTTTTCTTTTCCTGGCCATCCATCCACAAAACAACATGCTTCAATCCAAATTCACTTGCCAAGAAAATAAAATCAAAAGTACTGGTAAATAACACCATATTTTTCTCTTAATTAATTACACACCACCACTCGTTTACCAAGGGCAGTCAATACAGCTAGCTATATCTTGGCCTGTCGTGACAAAATGCTCTCTAGCAAAAATTTTCTGCCCAAGAATCTTACTGTGCCTTCTGGAAACCAACTCTGGCTGCTCCCACAACTGTACATGCATACAATTTGCTGGGAGAGTTTCAGTAAACAGAGATAGCATTTCAGCTCTCCAGTCATGTATTTGACTGGTTTCGTTTGTTGTTTCTTTTTTTTAACCATGACTTGATTTTTATACAGTTAGGGATTACTTTGCAAAGCAAAGACTGATGACAGAGTAAAGACCAAATCAGATTCCCCCC